TATGGCGACGCGTTGCGTCGCGACTTTCAACAATGCAACGACGTTTTTTTTTTCCTTCATCGTTTTATCTTTTGTTCACTGAGAAACGCGGAATCGAGCAAATTAGCCTTTACACGAGTTACTTTGATAAACGAGGGAATATCACTCATTCGTCGTTTTACGATTTTACGTCATCGGATTAACATAGTCAACCGTGAAGTGTGCAAAAAAAAAAGACGAAGGCGTACACAACCAATGTATTTTAGATTTATAAACGGTTCGACATTAACGCATTAGCGAAGAACATAAAGATCCAACGCTTTCACTTCGAGCTGCGTGCGGTGCAGTTAGTAAAGTTGTCATCCACTTAATAAGACAAGACGCGGAAATTCCGGTAGCAAAGACATTAAGATTCGTGTACGCATATGAGATTCAAGTATCGAATAAAAAAAAGGAGTAAAATAAACATCTGGTACTTTGATTGCAAATTTTATTACTGGTTCATTTATACTCTCGTTTTCTCAGGTGCGCGGTGACTGATGCCATAGCCAAGCGCCTGTGCGCTTGCGTAATTACGTTATATTCATTTAATATTCTTGTCAAGCTGTATTTTATGTGTGTTCTATCAACTGCATTGATCTGCGCAGAATAAAATGACAACGCGCTTAGAATATCCACTTTATAATACTAGTGATATTTAGACTCATTTTTTCGTCTATTTTTACATTCATTTTCATCGAAACTTTCATTGGCGAAATTGCAAATTCAAAAGTTCAATATGCGTTAAATATTTCCATGATTTAATATGAGATGTAACCAATGATATTATTCACTGTTAAATAAATATGCAGTTACGTTGATACTTATGATTTAAAACTCTTATCAATGAAGTTTGAAGTTTTTATCATAGGAAGTTCTGCATTAAAGAATGATCAAAGAGTTTAAAAACAAGTTATAAATGTAATATAAATTCTAAAAACATTATAGTTTTCTAGAATCATATCCTTCACGATGTAAATAATATACATCGGTAGGCATTCACAGTTGTAATCAGTGCAATTTTTAAAATCTTCTAATATTTCAGTAACTGGATGAAGTCAAAAATACTGTACAATATTTTATCGTGATAATCTGTTGATTTAAACTTTCGCAAAGAGCAAAATTCATATTATGCCAACTATAAATTTTTCGAACTTCTAATCATCTACGAAAATCTGTAGTAAGCTTTCATCAGCGTACATAGCACACATATACTATGACATAACTGATCACGTGATTGTCTTTCAACCCAACAGATCACGAATAAGAACAAACTGGCTTCACTTTATCAGGTTCTCTTTTTTACAAAAGGAGGATCTGGAAAATATTTTTCAAGTTTTCGCTCTCTGTCTCTCTCTCCTCTCCTCTCTCTCTTTCCTCTCCTCTCTCTCTCCTCTCCTCTCTCTCTTTCCTCTCCTCTCTCTCTCTCTCTCTGTCTCTCTCTCTCTCTCTCTCTTTCCTCTCCTCTCTCTCTCTCTCTCTCTCTCTCTCTCTCTCTCTCTCTCTCAATAAGCAAATAATTCAGCATCATTTGTGCTATAAAAATGGCGGCGTAAGTAGCTTACATGCGAAATGCAGCATGATATGACGATATCCACGGAAATGATTTCTCAACGCGTAGAATTAAGCAATTTTTATTTTATTAAATAGCTTTAATAATTCTTAATTTGGCAACCGACGCCGTATTCTAAGTGACTGTAACTACGTTACCAATCTTTTTTTTTGAAGCTGTAAATTGTGCCACACCTACAATCGAGATTATGGTTAGCGCAACGGCTGTTTAATCCCAACAAAAGATAAGCTATTTTTTGTTATAGAATTCCTTTTTTTACTTCTCGTTCGATAGAAGTGCAACAAAGAGAAATCCACATCGTCGAGTCACGCAGCAGAGTTATTCATTAGCGTGCACCTGCGGACTTTTTTTGTCGTCGCATTGAAGCTATACGATTGAGACATTTCGCTAACGAGTCTAATTAACTTTCTTGTGTGGGGGGGGGGGGGGCAGTCGTTGATTTTTCCTTAGCGTGTCAGCGTCAGAGGATCGGTAGCTAGCTGATTGTTGTTCCCTTTTAGTGCGTAAAATTTAAAAAAAATGCTCGCGACTTGAAATTAATCGTTGTTCATTTCTTCTTGCGTTATATCAATCGTCAAGTAGAAAACTGAAAAAGTGTATCAATTTTGTGGCTTAATTGACAGATCAATCTTGACGAGATGCCCAAACAAAGGTATCCCGAAAGACGAGGCGAGCGATTCTTCGCGTGGCTTTTCCTTTTCGTTTGCTGAATCATCAAAACAGCGTTGTCACGCACAAATGCATAATTCGAAATACACGAAGAAGCAGGTGGTAAAAGCTGCTTCGGAATGTCGTCGCGTGAAAGTGAATCAGCAGAAAGATGAACTGTGTGCGGTGCGCAAAGGTCCGCGGGTGATTCCGCGACTTTGTATGTGTGTGTGCGTGTGTGATTGATTCATATCTCTTGACGCAGCGCACGAGACGTCAGAAATTAAATTTGTATATTGCGCGCGTCTATCAACGCCTCTTCAAACATCTTGCTTCGTGCTTTATCTTAACGCTTCCAATCGCCGGTGGGGGTGATTTCGCAGTTGGTATTGTCACGAACATTATACTGCGGCAATGGCAGTCCCATTCTTATATTGCATCGCGCGTAACCGTATAGCAAAAAAAGAATGCTCGATACACCTCTTCCTGTTCCCGGCGACGTGCTGCTTGATCCCGCGCAGTATCGCGTTGCTCGCGCGCGGTGGTTAACGGCAAGTAACGGATTAACGCTTGACTTTGACCGTCGAGAAGAGACAAAACAGCAGCAACACTTTGGTATTATATTCCTCGATGCGTATGTAATTGAGTTATGCCTTGTGCCCCGAGGCTGCTTTATTTTTGATACACGAATGAACGGTCTGCCTCGTATGAACTACGATTGGTAGGTTGACAGGTTGCAATTTCGCAGTGAACGCTGAAGATTCGAGAGCTTTGCTCCTCTTTCGAATCTCCTTTTTTTTCTGTGCGAGAATTCTTTTTTTCTTTTCAACCGCGATTCCTAGATGCTCCGACGGGGATGACTGTAGCTGTTCCCGCCACTGGTCTTTCGATCTCGATTTATTCGAAATGAAAATGTTTATTCCATCGGAATTTCGTCCGTGCTCAGCGGCGTAAGATTATTGCAACGCTGCTATTCGCTGTGTCGCCCGAAGGTAGCCTTCTAAATCGAATCGCCGATGTAAGAGGACATGAAATGGCTGAATAATACATGCAGCCGAAACAGAGATAACGGATATGAGAGAGTGGTGAAAGGTATTCTGTAAATACCCCCTCCCTACACACGCACACGCACACACACACACACAACGGGGAAATTCCCATGGCTCATCGTGCAGTCACGCGACGTATTGAAAGAGGGGTTGCGATTTCTATTTTCAAACTTACCGCGCCGTTCGTCCCTTCTTCATCGACCGCCACGTTTTCACACGTATATTAACTCTTTGCTAATTCGTTTTTATCATTAGAACTTTTAAATACCGTAGGTTTAATAAACTCTGCTTCCAAGGACTGGGATTCCTCAGGTCCGAACGGCGACGTTTTTCCTGTGTGTTGAATAACAGAATACTGAAAAGACGCGCGACATAAAGAAAAAAAGTAGTTCAGGATGAAAATTCAAGAAAGAAAAGAGCGACGGTGACATCATAGATCACGAATAGCTGGTAGAAACAGCGCGCGCGAAATCGATTTTTCCCATTACCGTGTGCTCCGTTTTTTCTCTTCTTTTATGCCTAGCGCGAAAATACACGACGAGGAATTTCTGGAAAAGCAAGTTGATACTTCATCCCCAATTAAGGACGGCGCGGAGAGAGATTTCTTGGAAAAAACACTGTGTAGACGCATCCTCATTTTTATTCGCAATCTTAACGGCGCGATCTCTCCGCCGCTGCGCCGTGGAAATTAATTTTCGACTATAACGCGCAAACTCCCTTGACCTTGCGTACACGCCGTATTTCCACTCGCTGATTATTATTATTTTTTTCTCCCATTAGCTTTTGTTATTAAGAGAGAGATTATATTTTAATAGCAGCGGGATTCGGATTCTACGGATGTCTCGCGCGTATATCTGCACGTGAGCTGGCACTTATCTCTTTTTTCGGTCTGGCTCTATTTCTTATCTCGCGAAGTCGAAATAATTTTTTTGCCTGCGAGAGTCTGTTTTTTTCCCCCGACCTCTCTCGGACGCGAGCGCGTACAGTTCGAGTAGTCGTTTTTTTATCTCTCCGCGAATGCGTAAGTGACTTGGAGCTGCAACGCCAGTAACGAGGAATCGGACGTATCGATTTTTCGCGCACGGGTAAAGGCGACGCAGGTGGCGCATTTGCAGCTAATAAACTCGGTGCGCGCGAGGTCAAGTGTAAATATACCGTTCAAGGTACGAAGCTCGTTGTAAACATTGTACCGGCGCACTGGCGGAGCGAGGCCCGGCGCCCGCGCCGGCCGATAAAACTCGCGTCGTGAAAACGAGGCGCGCGGCGCTCTTGGAAAATTCGATCGATACAGTTTCGCGCGGCCGTCGCGGTGCAGCAGTCCGCGTTCGGAAGCCCGCGCCGCGCGGTCGTAAAGTGCGAGCGGCGGCCTTGAGGCTGATAAATAGAAAAAGAAAAGAAGACAGCAGTTGCAGCCGAGCGAGCGCGTGCGCCCGCCGTAAAAATCCTATTATACCGAGTCACGACGGCGCTATAGATTAAGAGGAGAAAAAAAAAGGAACGAAGCGGAACGCAGTCGCGCACGCGCGCGCCCAGATCGTCAGTTGTATTATCGGCGATAAAGGGCGATTTGCATGGGAATCCGGGCGGCAGAGAGAGGAGCGCGCGCGGTTTCGCTTGCGCGTGCGTCGAGGAAGGTTGGACGCGCGGAGGTGTCCCAGCAGGACGACGAGTAATCGCGCGCGTGCGCCTTTTCTCTTTTTTCTCTGTTGCAGTGTGCCAAAGCATAGACATAAGAAACCAGGTGAGCGAGTTCTCGAAGCTGGAGGGATGCCGCGTGATCGAGGGCTTCGTGCAGATCCTGCTGATCGATCAGGCGAACGCCTCGTCCTACAATGATCTCGTCTTTCCCGACCTCGTCGAAATTACCGGATACCTCTTGCTGTTCAGGTACGAGCTAGTTGCCAGCCGATCGCGATCCCCGCACGCGAATCTGATTTATTTTTCGCGTCATAACGAGAGGAAACCGGCGCCGCTTTATTGCTTATTAGCGAGGAAGTTGCAGCGAGTGAGTCGCAACTCTGGAAAGCCAGAGAGAAATACACGCGAGCGCGGGCTTATTGTGCTCCGTGGCAATGAAGCATTGAAAATTCATTTGTTGTTGAATAATAAATAGGCACTCTCGTTATGGAAAAAAAACGGCTTTTTCTTCATTACCAAGCAGACCTTGCCTGCTGAACGCGTTTCCGCATAATTCCAACTGTAGTAGTAAAAAGAGGAAGATAATTTACAAGCCGCGCGAGTTTTACAACTGCGAATAGTAAAAAAAATCGATGCTGTTTGCAGAGTACAAGGACTGACGAAAATAGGCAACATATTTCCCAACCTGACGGTCATTCGGGGCCACCAGTTGTTCGTCAACTACGCCTTGGTGGCGTTCGAGATGATGAGCCTACAGGAGATCGGACTGCACTCGCTGACTGACATAATGCGCGGCTCCGTGCGCTTCGAAAAAAATCCTTTGCTCTGTTACGCCGACACCATAGACTGGGACCTCATTGCTACTAATGGCAAAGGGGAAAACGTTATTTCGGTACGTATCTCATCTCAACCCACTTACCGTTTTCACTGCAAGTTTTCCCGCTCGAATTCTTGTCTATGTTTAGCGAATGAAAGTTTCTCGTAAAGCGATGATGCTTAAATTATGTGGGCGCTAGTGCGTATGATTATTTACTGTAAAAATATGACAATTAACGTCTGAATGAGCATCCGAACCGTCTGCGCACAAAGCTTCGTCAAACGGCGAAGCTCAGCTGCTGCTAATTAAAACTTGGACAGTTGAGAAGCCGCCTTAATTGATTGCAAACTCGGACAAGTGAAAAACCAAATACGTTCGGTCTTTTTGCGAGCGATCGATAAATTGCGCGAATAATCGCAGTGAATCGGCATCTCTCGTTACTGGGCACAACATCGCGGCAGAAGCATCGTCCGGCTACCGCGCAAGCTCGCGCGGGTGGGCGAACCTGCCCGACGGCTCGGCCGGTCGTTTGCGCTTAGAGCGCGTCCCGCGCAAGTACCAATGATTACATTGCGCTGGCGCGCGCGTCCGCGTCGACGTTACACCGCGGGCGTCGAACGTAATCGCCGGGCAAATCGGCCGATAAGACCGTTCGCTTCCGGTCCGCGCGTTCGCTCTCGCGCAAACTGGCCGACCACGCGAGACCCCGGCGTTTCCTTAAATGGTAGCCTTTCTCGCGGGCGGCGCGCGCGTTGCGTTAACAGCGCGGCCGATTACGTCAAGGAAAAACAATACTGGCCCGAGCTTCCCGAGTGCGTCAATCAACGCGCGCGCTTACATTCGTGGCACGTGTCGAAAAAAAAAAGTACACGTCGCGCGCGCACGAGTAGCAGCTGAACCAAGTGAATTCTTTCGTTGTGCAACTATCGAATTTGCCGAGGTGTAGCGCTGAATTAGTACCTTGTTTACGTCTTTGTGCTCAGTAGTTTTCCTATATTGCCGGAAGTTTGCAGTGCAGAAACACTTTTAAAAGCACGGTGGTAATTTAGTTTTACAAATTAAATTTAATGAGGTGCCATTAAAAAAAAATTATAGACTTGTTTGTTCGCGATTTTGTTTTATCGGGGTTGCCACAAATCTGGGAAATCACTGGTCGTGTTGTGGGAATCAACAGCACGCACGATTATACCTTATAGCGAGTTTGTTCTATGCTATAGAATTGGTACAGAGCATCTCCATTTTTCCTTGTTTCCCTGAGACAAAGCTATGAAAATTCATGGTATATCCTGGAAAAAGCCGCGAAAAAATCGGGCTAATTTTATCGTAGTGCATCGCGGCAACTCTGTTTTCATAATAATAATTAGTGATAATGCAACAAAGTAAAAAATATACGACGTTGAGCATCAGCCATCAAATAAAATAAATTCAACAATATTTAATAGAATTGGTGAACCTATTTTATCTATGGATTGATCCTCAACGTCGTTTTTTAAATTTTATTATTCTTTTGGCAGTCGTGAAGAAGGAATACGCTCGTCATGTTATTCGTATCACAAAATTCACCCTTACGAAGCCGCCGCACTATCTTTGTCTTGAAGGCTTCTTTGAATCGGCAATCATTCATATAAATAATTAACGCTTTGTCGTAAAATCCCACGTCCAACGAGAGAAAATTGAAGAAACGAGAGTGGAAGAAGCATCGCGCAGCCAAGAAAAAAAAATTGAAAGCGACGAAGCAAAGTTGTTGAACTGTCTCGCGGAGCTATATTCGCGGCTCTTTCTTGTTGCAAAGACGCCCCGACGACGCCAGAGAGAGAGAGAGAGAGAGAGAGAGAGAGCGAGAGAGAGAGAGAGAGAGAGAGAGAGAGAGAGAGAGAGAGAGAATGCGCATAAACAAAAGAGGCGATTTGGCTCGCGAGCTACTTCCACCCCAGACGCAGCGAGGATAATTCAATGGGTTCCGTGCCGCGGTCTTGTTCTATTTTTTTTGTCGCTTCGGTTAATTGGAATAAAATTCCGCCAAGATTGTTGACATGTGCGTTTCGGTTCCGTTCAAGACAAATCAATTAATTGTCATCCAGCGACAATCGCACAAGTTTCCAGCATCGATGCAGACATAATCGTCGGGGTAATCGGACGGGCACCAAGGTACAGGTGAAACAATTAGCAAGTGGGAAAAGAAGGGCATAGGGTCCGTATAAATAGGCTCCGGCGCGCAGTTTATAAAAGGCGTCGTTGTTCTATTCCCGTCCATTATCGTTCAATTTAGAATTATCGAGTGCACGCACGTTCTCTGTTCGCTTGAATTTATTCTTATCTGCTAGCGCTTGGCTCGCGGTCTCCGCGAAATCGAGGAAAATGCACGCGCGCGTTCGTAAATATCGATTATGGCCTACTTTAAACCTCTCTCGCGTTCGATGTATGTATTCCATTAGAATCCGATGTTCGCGTAGCGTGTTTGTGTGTTTTCGCGTGCTCCGAGCTGTAACTTTTGCGCGGACGAGGAGGGCCTAACAGAATTTGATTAGCTCGAGTCGCTTTGTGCTTCTTCGGCAAATTAGTTTGGCTGCGTATCGCCGTTTTGACGATATACATTCTAATTAAGCTGATTAACTGATTGCCGGATAACCTGACGGTTCATTTTCATTCGCCACGCTGGATGCAAAACTTCATTGGATTAAAATTGTACGTGTGGATAACAGAAAGAATGAAGAGGCCTGTGCTTGTGCTTGTGCAATGATGAATTTTACGGGCTCGAGCGGACCGTAACAACAAAACAAGATAAATTCTAAGTAATGAAAGAGCTGTACTCTGAATTATGAATGTCCGACATTTCATTTGATAAATTGAATTTGACGGTAAAGGCAGTTACGTGGATATATGTACATCTCTCGCCAATTAATCAAAGAAGTGTATTCTCGATCCGAATCGACGCCAATGAAAGGAAAATTAATGCGCTCGTTGAATTTTCGCCGCGCATGCGCGCCGCGCGCGCATTCCCGTGTGACCGGGGAACAGAAACAACAAAAAGAAACGCCGGTAATTAATGCCCGACATCGACAATCGAAATGGCCGGTCTCGAACGGGCTAAAACTGTTGGGAAAGGAGTCGCAAAATGCAAGCTCGTGCAAGCGCTCGGGAGTCCTTCAAGTGAATTGATGAAGCGGTTCGATTATAGAAGGTGATGCAATCGTTCCCATTGGCATTGGCATCCGCGATCCACGTGAAATTCATACTCACGGATAGAGATTTAACGATCGGGCCGATCATTTTTTATAAATCATCGAGCGTACCTTCTGATTAATATCCAAGTCAGCTGGGGCGCTTTCCCTGCGAAGTATACGAAACGAAATCCATTAACAAAGTAAAGGAGTTCTCGGCGAGCAGCGAGGAAGAGACAGTTCCAACAGAACTCTTCGCGGGTGTAAGCCTTCCTCGCGATTCGTCAATGGGATAGAAGTTTACTGTGGTCGTTGTTGACGTCGGCGTGGCCACGCGTAGAAATGAGAGGCCATAAGCGACTTTGCGAGGCGTGAAATTTCTTTTTTGTTTTCTTCTTCCTTCTGTCTTTTTCGTATCGGCCGAGCGTAGTGTCGTCCACGAGCTTTATGGAGATCTCGTGGTTTTCGAGCGACAAGTGCGGCGCGCGGTTAACTTTAGGTGTTGCGGTTTCACGCTCGCCGAGCGTTTTATTTGCCGCCGGCGTCGGAGCGCAGCCGTATGCAAACGCGTTTCGCAGGGGGATGGTTTTCGAAAAATTTAATTTTCGACAGCTTGGCCGACGCTAAATGCGCAATGACGCCCACTCGCGAGTGCTGATTAACGAGCGACGTAGATGCGACGTCGCGATCGGCGCGCTGCAATTTCACGTTACGTTCGTCTTTCGCGGCTGATTTCGATCAGTGACACGTCGAACGCAAAATGATCGTTCCCGAGGTGACGTAATAGCGAAGGAAAAAACGAAAACAAGAAGCCGAGCAGTTACGAGAGCGACGGGCAAGCTGCACTCGCACAGGTGAATAAAATAACACACTACTAGAGGTCGCACGCAGGGCGGTATTTTCGGAAAGTGGGTTGGGCCGCCGCCGAAATGGGATATGTATTTTCGCGCCCCGCGACGACTTGACCTCTTCGCGGATTTCTAAAAAGGCCGATAACCTTTTCTTTCTTCTTTATTTTTTTCTTTTTATCTTTTTCGACGGAAGCCCCGCGGTATATTCTAACGTTTCAATAAAGAAGATTAAAAAGGTATTGCAGCGAAAAGAGCCAAGTAACTCAGTCACTCTCTGGCAGCAGCAGCAGAATACGACATTCCTCCCTTATCGTCGACGCAAGCAGAGATGTCGCGTTGCGATAGCCTGGAATTCTATTACTTGCGTAACCGACCATTTTCATTTGTGCGAAAACTGTGCTAGCGCCGCATTTTCTTTTCGCGCCGCGTCTTTTACTCTCCGCTCGGTCGTCCCACTCGACCGATCAGAAGAGCATTCGATTTCGCGTAAAATCATCACTCGGCCGCCGTTCGCTCGCGGCGAGGAGATAAAATAAGCGCGCATGCAGATGCCAAATGCAATCGCGCAGTACGCAAGTGTCATACTCATTATCGGCGTGGCTGAATATTCGAAACTGCCGTAGATTATCGTGTTTACGCCGAGTACACGACGTTGCCCTCGACTCGTGAACGTGTATTATACGCGCTAATCGCGTCGCACCCACCGAGCCAATAGTTAGCCTTCCGTCTCTGAGTTAATCAAATTCGATCGTTGCGTCAGCCTTGACGCGCGCCCGTAAACAATTTACGCGACGATCGCCGATTTTCACTGGAGGGTTGGCGACTGGCTCGTCGATTCCAATTCGACCATCGCGGGACCTTGCCGCTCGCGGCGTCGACGACGCGAGCGCCACGCGTCAAACGCCAATTACTCGCGGCGCACGACGACTCGCCCGCCGAGCAATCTTTCTTATTGGCGCGGGCCCGGAAAGCAATTTGCTCGCCTTGCGGGAGGATCGAACACGTCAAGGCCTTATCTTTTTCTCGGTGCGCGGACTTTTCAAATTCTCGAGGCAGTGTTTTTCTGTGGTTTCGGCCGTCTGTGTTTTCTCCTTCCCGGTGTGTTGTGCGATGACCGAACGATGACCGAATATCAGCGCCTAGCATTCGGATGTTTCCAGTGCAAGAGGATGGAAACAACTAGAGCCCGCGTGACGAAAGAGAAGCGCGGAGGGCGCGGACAACGGCAGCGACTCGCCGATCCAAGAGGGCGAGGTGGTTTAAAGGAATTTAAATCAATGAGGCGCCGAGAGAGAAAAAGGGGGTGGCGCTAATTTTGGCCAGTTGCGCGCCGCCGGAACGTGGGAAAGAGAAATCCCCACGGCATTTCCACGGTTTTGCGCGAGGCCGCGTTGCCGCCGCCGCCGCCGCCACGCTCTGAAATATCTGTATAACGGTATCAAAGACAATCGTGCAGCCTGGGCGCCAACGTTTTTCTCTCCTTCGCGGGGCGATTAGCGCGTGCGAACGCGCCGCTCGCCGATTGATAATTTCAGCTTGAGGCATCGGACGACGGCGCTGGCCAATGTTCGCGGCGACGAGTGGGGACGTCTGTTGCGAGGACCAGATCGAAAATCGTTATAGGGCGGCTACCGCCGCCGCCGTCGCTGTTGAACACTCGGAATTGTTACCGAGGCGAGGAATTTGACTGACGCGCGCGCGGCTGCGACGCCGTCGAGCCTCGCGATGAAATCATTAGGGTCTGCCGGCAAGTAATAATCCCAGAAACGGAGCGCAAAGAGAGGCGAGACGCGCTCGCCCCTTTCATCTGTCTGAGCCGTCGCGCGACGATGTAGCTAGCTGACAAGCGACGCGAGCCTCGGATCGCAGCTGCAACGCGCGCGCCACGCGGCCTCTTGCTCCCTCGCCCCCCGCGAGCTTTACGATTACGAACGCGCCCGCCGTCGCTGGCATCGCAGTCGGCAGCCGCGGAAAAGTAATGATCGAATTGGCGGACAATTACGCGGCGAAAACCGCGACGCCGGATGCAGAGCAATAGCCGAGAACTTTGCCTTCTTTCTCTTCCTCGTGCACTTTTGGACGCGCTCCAAGCTTTTTGCGCTTCCTCCATATAGCTTGTCCTCGATCGATTTGCCGAACCGGCAGCGCTGCAGCGCAAACTCGCCTCAACTCGTCCGGAAATAAATAAGTAGCTGGGTGGGAAATATGGCGATACCGCGGTCAATTGCAATTTCAAGTTTACAAGACGCAATCTCGTCTTCCGTTGTCGGAAACTTGTATTGAAAAAGAATATTACGCACCGTCGGCTTGGTTTGCGAACGAGGAGACGGCCAGAACGCGAAGAGGCGAGGGCAGAGGAAAACTCGGAAACAAAGTGCGCGTGCTAATTAATGGACGGGCCGTGTATAAATTGAGCGAGGAAAATGCAGACGAGAGTTTTTAACGTACACGGAGACGCACTCTGAGGCGAGTACGTGTCGACCGCGCGGAAGAGGTGTGCGGGGAGACTTGGGGGTTGGCTTGGGCCCGACGTTTTGTTTTCAACGGGACGCGACGAATTGACAGAAGGTAACCGTCCAGGCGTCTGTTGATTACGACTTTCGTTCGGCCATGTTATCGCACGCAAACTTGCGGTGAAAAGGAAAAATAAAAAAAAATAATGATCGTTCGCTGCTGCGGCTATGATTAAGTTTTCTGCTCCTCTTATGATCCAGGGCAACAAACCTATGAACGAATGTCCGAAATGTGATAAAAGCTGTCCCAAAAGGCCGACCGTAAAAGACACAGCGCTGTGCTGGGACAAACAATTCTGCCAAAAAGGTAAGATCGCGCCTGTTTCTCTCTTTCCACGCAAAGATGGCTTTCGACCGGACAAAACGGCCGCGATTTGTTTCAGTGTGCCCGAGCGAATGCGGCGACAGAGCCTGCCTGCCGAACGGCGTTTGTTGCGATTCGTCGTGCTTGGGCGGCTGTACTGGCGAGACAGAGTGGGATTGCCGCGTGTGTCGCGAAGTGGTGGTGAATAAGACACGCTGCGTCAGCACCTGTCCGCCGGGAACCTACAAATTCCTTAATCGGCGCTGCATCACCCAGCAAGAGTGCCACACCATGCGCAAGCCACGCGAGATGGCCAACAATGTCAATCCGTATCCTTACAAGCCGTTCAACAATGAGTGCAGCATCGATTGCCCACCCGGCTACGAGGAGTATAAAATCAACAGTGAGTAGCTTTCTTTGGGAATTGGGAATGGCCGGTATTGGCCGTTCAGAAGTGAGAATCCGTGAAAATTGAGTCTTTTCCCTTGTCGAATTAGATCAATGGTCGTGCAAGAAGTGCGAAGGGCCCTGCATGAAAGAATGCGGCGGCATGACGGTCGACAGCATCGCATCGGCGCAAAAGTTACGCGGCTGTACGCTCATCAAAGGCAACCTCGAGATTGCCATTCGAGAGGGTCAGAATATCGTTCGCGAATTGGAGGATAATTTGAGTGGCATCGAGGTGATCACCGGTTACCTCAAGATCTTCCGCAGCTTTCCGATAATATCGCTCAACTTCTTGAAAAATCTCACGGAAATACGCGGGGACGAGCTCGAGATGAAGGATTACACGCTCGTCGTGCTCGACAATCAAAATCTCCAAGAGCTCTGGAATTGGACTACCAAACCTAGGCTGAAGATCGGCTCCAGGAAAGACCCCAAAGTCTCGTTCCACTACAACCCCAAGCTTTGCTTGCAGGTGAGCAATTGCGCGAAGCCAAGAATTTTTCCGCTCTTCGGTGCGCGGCACAATCGTAATTTTTTCGTCGCCAACAGACGATCGAGGCCCTCCGCGAGCGTACGGGCTTGAAACCTTTCACCGACATTGAGGTATCGTCGACGAGTAACGGCGACAAAGTAGCTTGCAACGTAACGGAAATCAAGACGGCCATACGAACGATTTCATCTAAAGCGGCGATCATCATCTGGGAGCCGTTCGTACATCACGACATGCGTACTCTCCTTGGCTACGTTATCTACTCGAAGGAAGCACCTTATCAGAACGTTAGCATGTACGAGTCGAGGGACGCTTGTGGTGGCGATGGCTGGAAAGTCGACGATGTGCCTGCTTCCGAGGACAATGGCAATATGGCACGTCAGAATACCACTAAAGATCAACTTTACAAGTACGTACACGCCAAATCCCTAGATTTTGGATTTGATTTCTTTTTCCGGTCGAGTAATCACATCCGAGGGGTTTTCCTCTTTTCGCAGAACGTACACTCAGAACATGATACTAATGATGCTCAAGCCGTTCACTCAGTACGTTTACTACGTCAGAACCTATACCATATCGACCGAACGCTCCGGAGCTCAGAGTAAGCTCAATTACTTCACCACGCTGCCGGGACAGCCGTCGGCAGTGCGTTCACTTACCATCTACAGCAATGCCAGCGATACGCTTGTCATCAGCTGGTTGGAACCGTCCGAACCAAACAGTAATCTCACGCATTACAAAATCATTGGCAAACTAGAACACTACGACTTGGTCTACTTGAGACAGCGCAATTATTGCGAAGAACGTGAGTAACTCTTTTTTTAAGACACTTCGCGGATTCGATTCTATCAGTTCCATGTCGACTGTGTAGCACTGAGACTTCTGGAACCGAAGCCAATTGCCGAAATCGCCGCCGAGGAGAAACTTCGCGCTGAGAAAGAATTGCAAGCGTCGAAAGAGCCAGAACCAGGGGCTTGTACTTGTCCGAAGCGCGAGACCGTTCCTTCGGAAAAAGAAGCTTATAGCTCGATCGCTTTCGAGAACGCGCTGCACAATCAGGTTTACATCAAACGCTCCAACAATGTCCGACGACGACGCGATACAACTACCGATAGCTTCATGCTCGAGGTTGTAAGGATGAAGCGTGAACTCAATTCTTATCAACAGGTTCGTACTCGACTAACTTTCTTTGCCCATCGAGTTTTTAATGTAACTTCAACGTGAAAATATACTTGTCACAGGAGAAAGGCATGATCAATCAAAGCAAAAAATTGGTAAGCAGCATAGCAAAAGATCGCGATCCGATGCGTCAACAGGTTGACGAAGCAACGCCGGACGGCGCTTATCAAATGTTCGAGCGTCGTGTACCGGCAACAGAGAACAACTTTGTCATGCGTAATTTGCGCCATTACGGCAAGTACAACATCATGGTGATGGCGTGCCGTGAGAAAACAGCCAATCCATCCGAACCCGAATGCTCACCCGAGTCGATGAAATCGATGCAGACAATTCGTATGGATAATGCCGATGATATTGACTCGGAAACGTTCATAGTAAAGACGCAATCGGGTAACGATAGTACCACCACTGTCACCCTTTATTGGCAAGAACCCCCGTTACCTAACGGTGCTATTGTAACTTATCATATTGAATATAGGAGAGTCGAAACTGCGAGTGTAAGTGGATGGCTCCTTTTTCTTTTTTGTTGAGGTTTTTCATCAATTATAAATTAAAATATTCCACTGACTTTTTAGCTCAAGATTTTTCCCGTATGTATAACTGGCGATCAATTTCGTGAACAAGGCAACTCGCACACCTTGACAAATCTATTGCCAGGAAATTACTCTGTTCGAGTGAGAGCAACGAGTTTTGCTGGAAATGGTGGCTATACTGTGCTCAAAACCTTCCTGATTCCGGAATCTAACTTATCGATGCCACCATGGAAAGTGACCGTGATCGTCTTCGTCTGCTTGCTGTTCTTCGTATTTGCTATCGTTTGCGGTGGTTACTTATTCAAAGAACAGTTCTTGCGCAATGTACCAAGCGTAAGGCTCATAGCTACCGTCAATCCCGAGTACGTCAGTACTACTTACCAAGCCGATGAGTGGGAGCTACCCAGAAAAAGGATTCAATTAGGTAGAGAACTTGGAAACGGCTCGTTTGGTATGGTTTACGAAGGTACGATCAGAGATCTCATTGAGGACGAGAGAGGAATCAGATGTGCTGTTAAGACTGTCACGGAGAATGCAACGGACAGGCAAAGAGTCGAATTTCTCAATGAAGCTTCAGTCATGAAGTGAGTACTATTTTAGACCGCTATTTTTTCTCTAAATACCAAGGAAAACCGATAAATTAATAATAACGAATCTAATATTTTCCAGGGCATTCAATACTCACCACGTAGTAAAATTACTCGGTGTAGTATCGCAAGGTCAACCAACACTCGTAATAATGGAATTGATGGTGAATGGCGATCTGAAGACATATCTCCGAAGTCACCGCCCCGATCAGTGCGAGAATTTCGCTCGTGAACCTCCAACTTTGAAACGCATTCTGCAAATGGCCATTGAAATAGCTGACGGTATGGCGTATCTGACCGCTAAGAAATTCGTTCATCGTGATCTGGCTGCGCGTAACTGTATGGTGGCTGACGACTTGACCGTCAAGATTGGTGACTTTGGTATGACCAGAGATATATATGAGACGGATTACTACAGGAAAGGCACGAAGGGCCTACTACCCGTCAGGTGGATGGCACCGGAAAGCTTAAAAGATGGCGTATTCTCGTGCTCCTCTGACGTCTGGAGTTATGGTGTTGTGTTATGGGAGATGGTGACATTAGCTTCGCAACCTTATCAAGGCTTGTCTAATGATCAGGTACTTAATCATACAACACAATATAATTATAATTGAAACATGCTGAATTCATAAAACATTTTCTATATATGTAATTATCTTTTTATAGGTCTTAAAGTATGTGATTGAAGGAGGTGTCATGGAAAGACCAGGTAACTGTCCAGATGCGATGTACTCATTGATGAGATTAACCTGGAATAAGTGGGCACCTCTAAGACCTACCTTTATCGATATTGTGGGGATGCTTTTGCCGGAAGTTAATGCGGAAGCTTTTGAAAGAGTTAGCTTTTATCATAGTACTCAAGGCGCTGAAGCTAGAAAGTACAATCCAGCTTCAGCGCCAACGACAGCGCAAACTCTGGCGCTTCCACCTTCCGACAAGTAAGTACTCAAGAGAGAAAACTTATCTGCAATACTAATTAAAATCAGTTTTGCTTTTTTTAGTGCTTTAGAGCTAGTAACTTTACAAGGTGTACGGGAAGAGGACGTAGAAGGTGAAGAAAAGGCGCCTCTACGTCAAGACTTTCCAGAATTCTCATCGTTCGAGCCAGTGACAAACGGCTCGTCAGGTCATTTCGGCATGGAATCATTTACTGACAGCACAACCAAAACACCAAAGGCTCTTACCTTCATAGATCTCAATTCGTCTAAGACACCCTTGAGAGCTGGCTTCGATGACTTTGACGGCGTATCTGCGGGTTCACTCGCCTCGAGTAAAGACGCATTGAATTTACCTTTCACCGAGGATAGTGTTCAGTCCGTGAAAAACTCGCCATTCGCTCATCAGAAGTCTTCCTCTAAGAGCAATGTCAGTCAGAGTTCTGCTGGCAGGTCGTCGCTTAGCCCTCAAAGTCCTAGCATCACTGCGGTCAATTCTGGTTTGTTCAAATCTTAAAGTTAAAGTGTTTTCTTATTCTTCCGTAGACTCTTAATCTGCGAATTTCGCATGTCTTACGACAGAGAGAACGTTATTTGGTATTATATTTTCAGTTCTCATTATCAATACAAACATTAAAGGAGCGTTATATTTTAAATATATTCAAATTCGTGATAAAGATTTTAGTTCACCAACTGATATATTTGATTATCAACGCATAATTATGGACCTGTAATGATGTGTTCAACATGATATTTATCAGTACCTTCAATAACATAATACCTTAATACGATAGTCATGTCAAAACTTATGGGTACATGATCTTTCGAAATACAGTGTTTTATTAGGAAATTTCACATCCATAATACATTGCCATTCGGACTTGAAATTAATTTATAGTCAAGTGGCGTATGAATATGCACATTCTCTAAACAGCATGTCTGCAGAGAAATCTTTACAAGTAATAGATTAATTAATAGCTTATTTTATTAATATAGGAAACCGACCGAGTTCGTCACTCATATCAAGCACACGCTCGGATCCAGAGTACGAAAACCGCAGTCCAGAAGCATTGGATCAGCAGCTGCAATCTCGCGACATCACAGGGCTCCACGTGAGTTTTCCATCGATGGACGCAATAGATTCGGACGAGCCAAGTCCAACGGCAACTACGACGACTCCACCGCCAAGGAGTAGTGATACTGAGAGTTCAGTCAAGTATCAAGTAAAACCATCACCGACGAGTGATCAGCAACAACCGACAACACCGTTGAATAACGGCTATATCGGTGGTGCGAATACGTAGCCTTGCGAGGAAGGCCGCTTGAACAGCGGTCTCACTGGCATTCGTAGGGCCGTTAGCGCCTAAAGCGCAGTATTCATCAACTCTCTTTCTCTCTCACTCTCTCTTTCTCACTCTCTCTCTCTCTCTCTCTCTCTCTCTCTCTCTCACTTACTCAGTCACTTTATCTCATTTTCTCATTATTTCTCTGTTTGTAATGTACATTGCCAACGCGAGGGATTTATATTAAAAATGGAAATAAACGTGTTGTGTTGTGCTTCCCGGGAGAGATTAGTAAAATATTGCTATTATTGATTGGCTTTGAAAAAAATTTTTTTAATTACACGTGAAAAATTTTTTGCATTTGCTCTCGTGCAGAAGCTACAGAAAAACTTAATATTATTGTATTCGTATGTAGGTATGAGACGAAAAAATGGTTTAAACATATTTATCATTATTTATATAATTGCATATGAGTGTAGCGATATTATGCTAAGGACTTGCATTTTTTTAAAACCGCCGTTCGTTAGCTGTTGACGTATGTCTATTGCGATAAAGGACTTATTTTTAAGTTCCTCTGACAGCGAGAGAGAAACTGGAGAAATTTATGTTACACATGATATTCCTTTAATTCCTTAAATTTTTTTGTTTTTCTTCTGTATTCTTTTTTAATGTTAAGCTCGCGGTATGTGTCTTGATTCCGTCTCCCATTTGTAGAAAGAAAAACTGTATTTTTCTTCTTCCTCGTTTTTTTTTAAACGAGTATAGGGTGTTCTTGTTGTTGACGACTGAGATTAGCAACGATGTAATGTTTCAAACTTTCCTCACAGTGTTATTTAAAAAAAGGGAACTCTTCGACTCGAGCATTATATTTTGATAAAAAAAAGATCAGTGATCTCATTTCTTAACCATAAATACGATCAATATTACATAGAACGAATCATGACTCTCAATGAAATATGTTCACCTATCAAAATAAAGTGCTCGATGAGAGATTTCCTTTTTGATAAATAAAGCAGACTTCGAGTTATCAAAGATTCTTATATGGAATTCCACGAAGTGTTCATGAAGAAAAAAAATACTACGAATGAAAAAATATAATGAAATGTAAAATACGAAAAACAAGTTTAGCTGAGGAAAAAGTTGAAAGAAAATTTCGAAGCCGTCGTACGGAATCCTCGCGCGCGCGCGTGCGTGTGCGTATCTGATATACAGACAATATTTATAACTTCTCGTTTAATTTTTTGCATGCCGCGAAATGAGAGAAAATAAAAAAAGGGAAAAACATCGTTAGATTTTAAGCGAACTATAAATGATAAGAAAACGAAGCAAACTACAATAGGAATGAAGTCAAACAAACGTTGACTGCAAATTTGTAATTTCATTCACCTCCGCCAGCGTTTCTCGCTTGAACTGATTAATTGACTAAGAGCGTCTAAAAAAAATATATAATGATTGAATGTGTCAAAAGAATCTTCCTATTTCCGTCACTGGCCGTAATCGCTTGCTCGTTGACACTGTACATATATATTTTTTGAAAAAGTGTTCAAAGATCTAATTACGTTTAACTCAATGGAAAATACTTGTAGTAAGAAGGAATAATATCTTCGGATTTAAACAATCATTTTCATACATTTCCAATCATAACTGAAGAGAAAATTAATTATGGTGCGCTAATCTTTTTACAATCATTCCTTGAATCTAGTACCTGGCAGTCTAAAATAGAAAGGGTCAAAAGAAAGTTTTTATAGGTTACTATGCATTTTTCATTGTTTAATCGTAATAATAAATCTTGGCTTTCCATCGAATGAAAAAAATTATAAGCTTCGGACATCGCAAGCCATAAAAAAGATAAATATAAAAGATATTTTTAAGCGCATAAATTTTGAATTTTTCTTTTTAGACAACGATCTATGTAAAGAGAGTTGCGCTTGAACCTTAACGAGAAAATTTGGCATGTAAAGAGGCTATTAATATTGTTTTGTCGATAAGGAAATAACAAAAAAGAGGAAAAAATTTTGAAGATATGATAACAAAACAATCCAAAAAAATGCAAATCCAAATGAAGCACATAATGTATGTATAAGTTCTAGGAGACATGAATGCGTGTTGTATGTATGTCTGTCTTGATATGCGCGACAACTGACCAATGTAAAACGCGATTTCGTCACTTTTACCCGCTGTGTTCTCTGCTAAGTCAGTTTAGTTGACTGTTTTCCCCATCCCTCATTGTAAAGTTTATATTTTTGTGGAATATTTTGTACAGTCGTCTCACGAAATATCTACCGTTGCGCCTGGATGGATCTCTTTAACGAATGAGAGATGACAAAATACAAGCAGCTGTTATTTTTCCTTCGAGCATTTTTCTTAATTAGCGAAATATTTACTTGCCTTTCGAAAAAAAAATATTTTTGCTCTGCTTATCACGCAATCAAATACTTTTCTTCTAAAGAGAATTACAAATATATTCCAACAATTTGCGTTCAATCAAATGCTAGTCTACTCTCTTATGATTATTTTTTGATTACTGATAAAATGGTTGCGATTTATTCTGTAATTCTCTGTGGTAGGAAAAAGAATATTTTTTTTCTATCGGTAACAAAAACTCAACTTTAATGTAAGTTCGATACGCATAAATTTCGACTAAACAAAATACTATTTATTCTGATATTAAGTACAATGTCGTTCGAGTGCACCGCGCCAGATCGAATATATTTTTCGCTTATGCCCCGTCAAGTTAGCGAGTAAAAGAGGCACCGAAGACATTGTTCATTGATCTGCAGACATTTGGGTAGCTTAAATTATTTTTTTGAAAAAACAATAATCAATTTCTTTTTGTGCGTTTATATAAAGTTTGTATCAGTATTTGTTTTATTAAATTTACATTAGACAATTCGACGATTGATAAAAAAGTGTCTCTTTTTAGTTACACAAAGTTACCTGCAGTATTTGCTTCATGATAACAATAAACAGCATTTAAGTGGAATATATAGACATCAGATTGTATTCTGCAGCCCGAGCAATACTTTTTACGCATAAAAGCGATATACATTAAGCTGAAAAATAACTGGAAAAACTAGTGTTATATTTAGGTAATATTGATGATAAATTTAATAACACAATAATTATTGATGCACATGATTTGTACATAGAAGGAACATTAATGAGAAATGAATGATATGTTTTACTTTTCAAAATATAATTTAAGACACCTAAACTTTGCAATTTAAAAAAAATAAATAAATAAACAGAACAAAATATGAAGAGCCTTCGTATTTTGTTATGTAAATGTAAATCTTCGATGAAAATAAAGGCTGCTTTGTTGAAGGCCGCTCGGTGCTAATACTGCCCTGCGCATAAAAAGCTGAAACAAACGACGTAAGTACGGCGTATGTCCCGAAGAGTTTTGTCTCTCTCGTTATAAAGCTATGTCTGTCGAAGGCACACTATCCTGTTTTCTTTCGAGTCTTTGCGCCTTCGATAAATAGAGGAGAGAAATTAGACTGCTTTAGCCCAGTAATAGTAAAGATTGAGACGATTTGAAATTGTTAAAGATCTAATGTTGTTATGCATTTGTTTTTTCGTTTTCTTTCTTCATTCCTTACTCTCTATTTCCATTTTTACATTTGTTACCGATTTTTGCCGTACAATAGACAACACTAAAAAATATAAAAAATTGCTTAGGCGTTAGATCGCGACGACACATTTTATTCATTTATCTTTTTAAATTCACGCCAAAATCGTGCATAACAGCGTTGTAAATTCATTGAAGGTAAAAAACGGCAGGTAATTATTGCTGAGATCCGAAGTGACTTTTGATTGACGGTTGTAGGGAATAATAGGAATGACAGGACATATTGAAAGAAAGAAAATTAAACAGTTAAACTACACGAGCAACGCAATATAAAGTTGAGAAAAAATATAACTAGACACATTGAGCCTCAAATACAAGACTGATTAGCTAAACCCCCTGTATAAACATATGTAATCTCGCAATCGATAAGTTTACTGAATAATAGTAAAAAGTAAAAAGAAAATCCGTCGGAGTTTGATAAGGAAAGGGAACGTTATTGCGACGCATCCTTTTTCTTCCAAGTGACTTCGCAAAACATACCCGCTTGTACATGTATATAATTACTATAGCCTTTAAGTATGCATAAATTCAATCGTAATAAAGATCGAAGTACCAGTGACCTAACAGACCTATTTTAACCGTACGCTTTACATTTACAAAAAAAGTAAAAAAATATCTCGTGTACGTGCATGTGTGTGGGCGTGTATGTGTGCGTGTGTGTGCGCGCGTGTGTGTGTGTATATATATATAAGAAAAATACAAATCAATGTACGTTTTTAAGGCAAAAGATGTAAATTGCGTTCAGTTTGTCATAAATGATTATTAGTTGATTAGTGTGGCAAAGTTGTACAGGCCTGAGATGTATCATCCGTTTATACATATAGAGTCGGAACAAAATACGTAATATCTAAGTAGTATGTAACGTATCTTCAATGATTAATTTCTTCTTATTTGTAATCAAAATATCAATAAGATGCATTGGTGAGCAACGAAAACCGACTGCGACGTGTCGCTCTCTTAGACTTCCTCTCTTCCAGGTTCCTTTCTCTCTCTCTCTCTCTCTCTCTCTCTCTCTCTATCTATCTATCTATCTATCTATCTATCTATCTCTCTTTCATTCTCATCTAGCTCTATCTTTTCTAATAATATACAAGCAAACGAAAAATATTGTATGTCTGCGCTCTATAGATGTAAGTCGATGTCGTTTTCATCATTGTCAACGAAGAGAACTTTTTCTCTGCTGCTTGTATATTAAATCAGCGTAAATTACTGAACATATATATGATTTCTCTAAGTCTCCGAATGTGTTCCATAGAAATTAACGAAGCTATTCATACGATAATATTTTATATCCAACTTTGCGAATGTTATATATGTTCAGTTTGTGTTACCAATTGTTCGTGTACATATATGTGCTGCACATTAAATACACATATAAAACCACTTTGATGAAAATCATCGACCGAACTACATGACGAAAAAAATCTTAATTTATAAGTAAAGAAAGTTTGTTGTTTCTCATCATTCGACAGATACTAATTTTCATTTGTACAAAGTATAAGGCAAAATCTTTCTTATTTTATTAATGCTGAGTGTAATAAATAAGCTTACCACCACATACAACTGTAAATACCTCGATCAATATTGTTGCCGCGATTATTATGGCAATCAAATTCTATCTCGTCATTGATCGTTACGTTCGAAAAATCATCATTTTGTTCGTATGTTCGCGCTAGTAAAAACTTTTCTTTACTGTGCATATGACACCACTCGACTCAAATCATATTCGACTGTTGATCAAATCACTTCGCATCTCTGTTAATCGATTCTCATAAACAAAATCGTCGCACACGTTTTCGCATAAAAAAAATACAAATGTTCGCAGTCTGGTTTTCGATCATCAAACTGTTCCACGAGGTCATATCAATTTACGATTCCTTTCCTTAAGTCGTTCGGTTACCATGCCACTGAAAATTCGTAAACATTAATCTTACGCTTTATGAAGATTATTTTTTTTCTATGTCCCATACATTTTTCATTCTTATTTTTTACAATTAGTATAGATCGTTCGCTGTCAATGTCCAAGGCCACAAGAAAAAATCTTCGAATTTATTAGTGTTGTATGTAACATTGCGTCACCGCCTCTTGTACCTTCTTTTTTTTAGGCTTTAGTTTAGCGGTTCTAATAATAAGTTGTTATCTTCCATACACATGCGCATATTTATGTAGAAAAAAAACGAAAGGGAAACGCCAAATCAATCTCCATTTGTATAAATAAATGTAAAGACAAAAAGAAGGAAAGATAGCCGAGCAAAGTCAGCGTTGACTTTTTGTAAAAATTCGATATCAAAGATTATTAGAAAAATGTTCTATATTGCTGAATAAGATACTGCTTAGAAGAATTATGGTGTTTCCCTTTGCGTTTATATTCTCGGTGCGAAGTCTTTCCATTTTACGAGTATACATAAAAACGAGAAAGACGTTCCAAAACTTATACGTCTTGACGTATCAGTGGTATACATATATGAGTAGTTACTTGAGTAAAATAATAACTACTCGTATATACTTCAACTTTATATATACGATTGAGAAGGTACTCGCGAATGGAACGAATTCCGGCCGCTGATCATACCGCAGATATATAATAAAATAAGGAAAAATATAAAATAGCCAGCGTACCCAATGTATTATATTAAATAGTAAAAAGCCTCGCTCGTATTCTCAAGTATTTAAGGATCTATTTGATTAAGTGCGTAAAATAAACAAATGAATACATATAATTATATATACATAAATGTATACATACACATAAACATTATTATTACTATTACTACTAAAATTGATTGCTTTTCTTTCACACAATACCCCCAAACGCCTATTTTATTCAGTTGGAATTTATACGATACGACTTACGTTTATAGAATGTAGAGCGTGCTGATGAAATTTTTTTCAAAATAATCTTGAAATTGATAAATATTCTGATTTTTTTAATATTATTTTTTTATTTTTCCCAAAGTTTGAGAGTATTATGAACTTACGAGTTCCGGAGATAATGAATCATAATATCCATCTGAAGTCATATTAATCTTCTTGTAATCAAATCGATCGACATATAAACATCGCGTGCGGATTGGCATCGATGAATATAATAAACGTTTTATTTCTGTATAAATGTCTGTTTAGTCGAAATCGACTAAAATTCAAAGCCGTCAGTAGACGTACAATTACATACAGCACGACCACGCCAGTCAACACTACAAGGCAGCGCGCCACGTCATTTTAAAAACAAGCCTTAATCTAATCTTTGACTTCTATGACTCTCTCTCTCTCTCGCTCTCTATTTTTCTCACAAGAGGTCGCGTGTCGGAAGGAGAAGAAAGGTTGGGCCTACTTAAGTTCAGTTTCAGCACCGAGCATTTCCGGACTTGCTAATCGCTCTCAAGTAGATTTCGTGATCAATCAGCAGTTTTCCCTACTATTATCGTTCCGCCACATTTAAATATTGTTTTTGTTTATACGTGAGTACAGTATTATTTTTTTTTGTGTCATATAGTTTTCATCAAATCATATACTTTCAAATAAATTCAAAAAAGTTGTGTATGCACGAGTTGCCCGCGTCCGCGGTCGTGTCACGTACATTTCAAAATTTGCGAAATATCTTCAAATCTCTTCATCTCGATCTTTTTATCACTATCTCATTCATTCCTACAGCTCTTTGCTTCTTTGACTTCTGGGGTGGCGTGCCAACGACCGCTGCTTCGCAGCCTATACTTAATATTCACTGCATCGAACCATTCAACCGCTGCCTCGCAGCTTATACCTAACATTCGCTGCATCAACCGATTCAACCGCTGGCTCGCAGCTTATACGGACAGACGCGACAAACACAAAATCACACACACAGCACTATCACGCAATATCATCTGTAATCTTTTTTCTTTTCGAGGGCGTTTCGGAGCCAAAATTATATTTAATTTGACTCCTAAGTGATTTTTTATTTGTTACTTCCACTCTCGTTCCTCCATTTCGTATTAAGTCCTAAATATAATTTATGTACGAAATAAAAAAAAAAGAGTTCTTTTTCCTTCGCGTTGAAGCGAAAGAACAAGGGGCAGGGCCTTCGGCTCGTACATACAGTGTCTGTAGGCTCACGCAACAAATAATAACTTGCTAGACTTCGCGAACACCCAGAAGTGCACTCCGTTGCTGTACTTGAATCATACTTATTTTGCACTGAAGGATAGTGCAGGGCGCGAGTTTTTGCTTCATTACAGTTCTCGAATGACGATCATTGAAAAGTGTTTTATAAGTGTCAACGAAATAATTTTTTTATTGAATAATGTTGATTCTGAATTAGTAGATTGCTAAAGTGTAATTCACTGTATTCAATTTCAATAAATTGGATACATAACATTGTTTATAAAAAAAATTTAAATTTCAAATAAAACACTATATTCGAAACTTGCGCCAAAAATAATATTCAGTAATGAGATTATACTGTTGGTAAAGTAGAGTAAGTATACATGAGTAGCGATTGAGCAACGTGAACTATGGCGCAGTCTGGCTCCGACAATTCACAGCAGTGCAGTTTAGATAATAATAATTCTTTACCCAGACTCGTAATTTTTCTAGTACAACGCTACGATAAATAATAGGTGCAGTTCTTGATGAAGGTAAGGGGGTAACGTCTTCGATTTCTCAACCTATTTCAAAACAACAGTCGAATCAACAGGTACGCTAAGTTGTTTACGTTTTCATAGTAAACTGGAATTTCGGATTATTTGATAAATAGTTATTTACTGATATATTTTGAATCTAAGTAAAAGTAAACAAACGTATACAAGTAAGAATAATTGTGTAAAACTTATATATTTAAAATAAACTAATATATTTACTGTGTACATGAATTAGGTTTCATGTATTTGTTAGCAAATTTTTATTCCGATGACTGCAGTTTAACTATAAAATTGAATTAATATTTAATTTTTATGTTACGTTACATTCATAGCGAGAAATTGTGCTAAATTAGTTTATTGAAACAAACTATTCAGCTTTGGAAGAGGTTATAATTTATATCTTTAATACCACCATCTATATTCATTTAAATTTTGTACTGTGAAATTCGAATATATTTGTAATTTATCCTACCTCAAATTAACATCAGACTTATTGATAAATAAGAAACCTTGTTTAAATTATTTATGATAAATTATTTTGTTGTTCCCTTCACAAAATAAAAAATAAAAAATTTATTTAAGAATTTATTTAAGAATTTATTTAATAACCAAAGTAATCTCTACAAACAGTTATTTATATGATGTTTTTTCTTTTTTCAAGAAGAATCGAAGGATGGCTAAGTACCCAAAACCAGCTAATATGCCGTATACCGACAGCTGGTGTCAAACTCACGTCAACGTCGTCGACGCTAATTTTACGTGGACAATTAACAATTTCAGCTTTTGTAACGAGAAACCTGGCGAAGCCCTAGAATCAACAGTAAATTTATTTTCGAAATATTTTTTATTTAAAATAAATGTAGGGTTGCTTGTAAAGGTGAAATGTAAATCATATGTCAAATATCTGATTGTTTTACAAACACTCCATCAAACATTTTTGTAACAACTTTAGAGTTTCATTGAATTATGGTTATTGAAAAATAATTAAGTAAATATCCCGAAAAATTGCAGATATTTTCATCGTCAATGAATAGTGCGCTGAAATGGCGGCTTCAATTCTATCCAAGTGGCAACAATCAAGAGAACAAGGACTACGTATCTCTGTTTCTACACCTCGTAACCTGTGACAAGCCAACGATCAAAGTCGACTTTAAATTCTGCGTAATCGACAAGGATGGCCGTGAAGTGAACGAGCGCAAGACAAGCGAGAAATGGCAGTTCTTTCAAGGTCGTCAATCGGGTTTCCCAAAGTTCATCAAGAAAGATCACGTTCTCGACCCAAGCAACGGCATTTTACCTCAAGACAAGTTACGCATCGTATGTACAATCAGATCGGCCACAGGTAAGGTCGATCGCATAAGTCTTGACAGTATGTTTCCGCAGTCGCCAAATCTGCTCAACCAGTTGTCCGAAGACTGGACACAAGCGCTTGAAGAACAATCATTTAGCGATGTCACCCTTGAGTCTTGCGACGGCATTAAACTAGCTGCACACAAGGTCGTGTTGGCAGCGAGGTCGCCGGTGTTTGCCGCGATGTTCGAGCACGACATGCGCGAACGACATGATAGTAATGTTCTCATTCACGACATCGAGCCCGACATTCTCAAGTCCATGTTGAGATTCATTTACACAAGTCGAGTCGAAGATTTGCATTGCCAAGCTGCTAGGTTACTCGCTGCTGCTGATAAGTATGCCTTGGATGGACTCAAAGCCATTTGTGAGCAGAGTTTATGCAAAGGGTTGAACATTGAGGATGCAGCCGAGTGTCTAGTAGTAGCTGAGCTTTACAGAGCTTGCAAATTGAAAGATAAGACGTTGAATTTTATTAGGGTACATTTGAGGGAGGTCCTGGAAACGCCAAACTTCAAGGCTCTTGCCAAAGACCAACCAGCTCTCATGGAAGAGATACTCAGATCTATGACTAAATCGTGATTCTGTATGTATTAGATTAATGAAATAACGGAGCTGCACTTTGAATTTACTGTTGATTTCATATTCAGCTTTACTTTCGCTTTTCTACAAATTTCGCGTCTTTTATTTTACTAACGAAATTATTTTAGTATATTTTTTGTAGTATACGATTAAAATGATTGATGCACTAATGTTTATTAATTTAATTTGACAAATTCTAAAAAAAGAATTGTTATAATCGACGTAAACTGTAAATTACTGTTATCTTTCAAATTAAGATACCAGTTTTACACGTATCAGTTAGAATTTTAATTAGTTTTTGAGACTGTGCATTCCAGGCTGTAAGTATAGTTAGATTTACTCTACTTAAGTCTTAGATTAAAGATTATTACAAATGAGCGTGCCACTATGTTTATAAAATAGTAAAATAATTGACTAGATTGTAAAAATTGTAGTTGAAGATTGTAAGTGCAAATGATAAACGGACGATGTATAATTGTATAATAATATTGTAATTTGTACACGAATAGATCGAAATCACGTAAAAAATGCCCCTTATTCCGTGACCGATTAAACGTACAAAGTCATCTGAACAAATCGTGACATACATTGTAATAAATTACCTGTATTTTTGATAAATAAGAATATCTTCAATTAAAGTTAACTTTAGATTCGTTTTCCTTCACCCGAGCGCTGCATTTCAAATTATAACCCGAAATTAAAAAAAAATTAAATTGACGGGAGAAAAACATAAGGTGGGAAAGTTTTTGTGAATAAATTACATTGCCCTTTTTTGGGGCAAATAAACACCGGTTAATATAATTAAAGCTTCGCATATATGCTGTAATTTTCATTTTCTACGGGTAAGTCTGGTTTGAGTGATTACTATCGAGAGATTTTTTAAATTGTATAACTTTTTTTATAGTTTGTTTCGGACGTTACTTTTGATGAATAAAAAATTCATTTTTTATTTTGTACGACTGTCAGCATGTATTGACTTGCCGAACGAAAAGTTGAATGATTGTTATTCATCACAAATGAAATGTATCGCTGTTTGTTGCACAATAATTAGATATTTATCGTTTCCATATATAAACATTACTAACATACATCGTTAAAATGAAACGCAATATTGAAAATGACAACTGAAAAGTGCATAGCTACATCATGCATAAATGCAACACAAGCCCGTTAGCTGCTTTGTAGGTAGTCCCTCGAAAAGAGCAACACGGAAACGTCGCCAAATATAATTGGCCAACGCGACTAACTGTAAAAATGCAAAGCAAGGGACAAAAGATGGGAAAGCTACCCCGTTAGAGTAGATTGCGATCCAGGTGAGCTTTAATCCGGAGCGCATTAATCAATATGAAACGAGTGTATTTTGTTTACGGTATTGCCGAAATGCACATTATTTATGGTAACATGGCGACTCTCTGTTGAATGGTTAACATTTCCCGTGACGCGTAATTATTTTTAGAGAGAGAGAGAGAGAGAGAGAGCGGCTTGCCATTCGAAATTGCATGTCACAAAATCAAACCAGCGATTTGACATTGAATATAAAATTATTAAAGAGCCACAAGAGCAGTTTCGCAAAGGCAAACGAAAGAAAATGGAATAGCGTCCTAGTCAGCTGCAAATAATAAATTGTAGCACAGAGAGAGCGAGCCTAATGATTGCATAAAAAATGCGAATAAATGAGCGACGGAGAGAGAGAAATAGAGGAGGTGCGCGCGCGAGCGTCAGCTGTGAACAGCGATGTAATCGAGCGCCGAGATAACGCGTCCGCAAAATACAGCAGCCCGGATGTGTGCTCCTTCGTCGTCGTTCCTCGAACCTAAGATACGTTCGCGTGCGGGAGAGACACCGTTAAACGACGCTTGTGTCAATCAGCTTCAATGCATCATTCAGTCCTGCGCCGATTGTTAACAGTAACAGGTTTTTCTTTTCCTGTTGCTCTAGTTCTTACGAAAAATGCGGATTGCAAATTGTTACTCGATAATTGAGGAACGGGATGATATTGTATGCTGATAATGGCCCTCTATTCAGTGCGAACCCTGACGCAAAAAATCCATTCACTCTTATTCGAGCGGGCCCAACTCATTAAAACTTATTGAAAAAAGTAGAGTTTTTGATTCGGAGAAGTCAAAGAGTAACATGTTTGGTACTGTATTTGATATATATACAGGTGGGGTGAAAACAACAAAAGCAAATAAATTATTAATCGTGTCCTTTTTTTATTGAATAAATTATGAAGATGGAATAGTATTCGAAATGTTACTGTGGTTATAATCACAACTCTTTACTCATTATATCCGTTCCAATTCCAGAAATAAAAGAATTTTATGCTACTTATTTGAAGTCAATTCAAAAATACCCGTAACTCTGTTTTATTTTCTGTACGGCTGGTAAGATAAGTAAAAGTAACTGATATTGACAACGTTTGGCTTTGTTTAAGGTTCCTGTTAGCATGTCGGCAATCATGTTTTCTGCGGGCCAGCACTTGTAGACAATGATTTATCACTTTCTTATCCTCCAAGTTGTAGAGAAAGTGGGAGCATCATTACTGAGCATTTTGTTTTACTGCCATATTTTCGATTATCTATTAATTTGAGACGGCTTCCATCGTCTCCAAACATAGTATTTTTTCCGAAAACAGATCCCTCGATTTCTTCGAGTACGTCCACATCCCTTCCTGCCTTGTTTCAGCTCAGGTTTATTTAATGATAATGTTAAGCATTCTTCTTTACGGCATCCCGATCAATCGATAAATTTGCATAATGAAATGCACACCTGCTGTTCGATTTGCTATTGGTTTCATTGTTTACTCAGTCGGTGTCTGCGTACCCATTAAATTCTGAGAGCCCGTTGCTTTCACCGAGTTGCAGGTCATAATTTTTTTGTCCCTTTGGAGTAACGAACGACCCTCTTTACTTTTATTCAATCGGTTTCAGTAGGACTGTTATTTCGTTCGAAATTAAAACGCTCGTAGTCTGGTAATTAATCAACCCATGCATGCAACAATGCGCCAATAAGTTGTTCTGTATACTTTTGAATAATACTTTTTGTTATTAATAGAAATTGAAGAATGTCATATGGAAGAAAAATGTTACGATTATTTTAATAATCGGTTTAAAGATGTCTATGCTAAGTAATAGGGAAGGAGAAAACATAATCAAGTGTCATAAAGTGTCATAATTTTCAAATAAAATCATCTATAATTGAGTAGCAATTTTGGCTTATGGAATCGTGTAAACGTTTAATTACGTTAAAAGGTGTTCTTTCTTATCGATCAATTATTACGATGACCTACTATTCGCACTGGCAGATCTATACTTATGACCATGAATTCAATGTAAAGTTTCTCCGAAATTGATATTCATCAAATAGTACTATTATGTATCTTAAGAAATTAAAACACGACGAAGAAATGATTGGAAAATATTTGTATTACTATTTCAAAATCATTGGTATGGCAACTCTAACTTTTTCCACGGACATTAAGAAAAGCAAACGTCAAGAATATCTATTTACTCGATCGAAATTCGGAGCAGCATATAATGTATGTCTTTTAATAATTTTAACTGTTTCAAACTATTTCAGTATTAAAGTTATTTATGTAAGTTACGATACGCACAATCGGTCAAAATTTGAAAAAATCTTTGAAAATGCACAAAACTGCTTGACTTTCATTACCGCATCGTTCGCTCTGTTAACGTTAATTATTCGGCAAAGGAAGTTCACTGAGATTGCAAATAAAATAAGCGAAGCCAGATGTTCTACCATGAGTTTATTCAGCGAATCGTACCGTGAACAATCAATTGTAAAAATTATTACTTTGTTATTTTTCGTCACAGGAACGTTATGGTGCAGTGTCATAGTGTCGAGCTGTTTTAATAGTTCTTATTATGTAATTGTAGCTGGTCCCTTATACATAGATAATTTCCAAACCCAGATGTTTATGTTGCATTACAGCGTAATACTCCTATTAATTAGAAAAATGTTCAAAGTTGTGAACCTGGAAATTTCAAGATTTTTAAATAGACCAGAGTGGATTCCTGAACTCCAATGTTACCAGATAAAAAGTTCACGCCCAACATCGGCTAATTTGTTCCAGATTAGGTGTTTATACTATTCATTAAGCGAAGTATCACAAGATATATCTGATTTTTATTCCCAACCGATAATGATCAGCGTGTTTAATGTATTTTGTTCTTGCATATGTTTATCGTATTACATCATCAAGCCCATCGCTCTCGGCCGAAATTGGCTCTCTACGCATGTCGTTATTTCCGATATATCCAAATTAGCTCTACATTCCGTTTGCTTCGTTATTTTGACGATATGCATTGCTACGACAGTCAACGAGGTAATTATTTTATTTATCAAATGTCAAATGTAATTGAATAAGTACTGAACAGCGTTTGTTGTAATAGAGTAAGAAAACTGGTAGACTCGTCAACGGTACTATAATCAATTGCGAAAGTTTGAAAATAATTGAAGAGGTAAATATATCGCCAAATGCATTGATGGTTAAATATAACTTACATTATTATTTCAGTTACAGCAATTTTCTGATTTTATTGCACACGCTAATGTTCAGTTTACAGCCTTCAATTTCTTTTCATTAGACCAACCATTGGTTATCACGGTACTGACAAAGTTATCCTCATGCCTGTACAACATTGAAAGGATATTCATACTGCGTTTTTTATTCCAGATTGCAGGCTCAATTACAACGTATTTAGTTATACTTCTACAATTTCAGTGACGTTTTTCAGATCGTTTTTTGAGAAGAACTCCAATGAAGGAATCTCGCGGTAACATCGTTGTAACGATACTGCAGGATTTTGGCTTTTGGAAAAATAATACCAAGTTTATTTGATGCATTTGAAATGTTTTAAAATCAATCAGCTTACAGCTGCGCGTTGAAAAAGTGTAGCTTAGCCGTCAAGCACTCAATGTCTTTCTCGAAGAATAATTTTTCACGAGTACGATTTCGCGGTCTTTTTAGAATGGTGAGTTAATAAAGTGAGATTACTATTTCAATCTTTTTGATTTAGCTACAATGACTTTTCATGAAAGTCAGCAATAATTAACGTACACTATCCACGCTGTTGTGTATATTCTAAATACTAGGCTTATACAAGATCCTATGATTTTGTTGCCAGTGATCTGTATTCTGTTGATATTAGCCGATACTAGCGACGACAGATAAAATAAGATGGATTCGAGAATCAAAGGAAATTCTACGCTGCGAAGGAGATCGCGACCAAGCAATTATAAATGAAATATCTGTAATTATTTTTCTGATATCTGCCACTCACAATACAGGTGTACTTGATCATATTCGTACCAGAAACTTTGAACAATATTTTTCATTATTTCTTGTTGAAAAGGGGAATGTAAATGTATACCTGCGTGTTAGTAGTCATTATCCTGTGCGTATAATCATACATGATATGCACAAATCACGCTTCTGATGGAGGACATTTTTCTCGCTGTCAAGCACAAAGAAATAATACGCTTCACGCTTTGGAATTCAGATGCATATAATTTCGTTTGGGTAAGAAATGTACTGGAATACCTCGAGTGAAAAAGTAATTTATCTAGTGTTACTCTAAGCCAATAACTCATTGAAATTTCATCTTATTATTTGCAATACCGCATACCGCAAATTTAAGCAAAGCGGTAATTCTTCCCGTCCATACGCTTTTTTTTCATTAGAAATTCAGTACCTAGGCTTACCGATTAATAACAATGATGTTGATATCACGCTCGTGACAGTAGTGAAATTCGTGCAATTATTCCCTGAGACCTGTACAGTTATAATTATACTCACCATATCGATTACTTTTTTTATTTTTTCGCGTTACAAGCCCCACCAAGGTTGCTTTAATAACTTCGTAAACTCAATTAAAAGCACTAGCCCTTTTTATTATCTCCCTTTTCCAGGTCGTTAAAACGTCAGCCTCGTGTGCTCAATTTTAACATTGATAGTCTCAAAATAGACAGTGAATTACACGACTGTATATAATGAACATATGACCTTCGTTTCATAGGTTCATAAATATGAATTTGCAAGCACTAGAACGTGATATTTTTGTGTGTATGTTTTTGCGACGTATGTTGATTGTATTCTAAGCAAACGTTATTCAAAATTACAGATCAGCTACATTAGTGATTTACTTTCGTCGCCACAATGCTCAACTTTAATAAGCAGACAAAGTCAATTTCAGAATCCTCCCGAACAATCGGTCGCCCAAAAAGAAAAGGAAATCGATACGCGCAGGTAGTCCGCGTATATCTACCCACACAGACGCAGTCGGGAATATATATGCCGTGCGAGAGAAACGCGTCGAACCGAACAGCCGCTGGGACCACACCGTACACCGGCGATCTCGTCCACAGGTAGAACATAAGAGAAAAGAGGGGGAGAAGAGATGGAAGGGGGCGGAGGAGAGCAATGGATGCATGGGATGAAGGCCGATCGTAAGAGAGAGAGAGAGAGAGAGAGAGAGGAGACGGATCTCGCGTGTGCATCTGCGTCTTCTGTATCTTATATACCTGCCGCGTGCATACTTTTCCCCTCGCACCTGTGCCGACTTTTTCGACGGTATTAACCTGGATTCCTTATATATTCGTGCGATCGCTTCAACGGGGGTTGGCTCTTTAGCAAGATCGTTTACTTTTTTTTTCATTGCTGGTTGCGTCTTCCTACTCGGCGAGTTCGCGCTTGAGGTGAAACCGTAACGATAATTGTATGCTCGAAACGATCAACGATTTCGATGGAGAATAATTTTTTAAAAGTGCGCGCTGCCAATTGAAGCAAACGCGGTGAGCTTTCGAGACTCGCGCCACGAGAAAAACGAAAAGTCGATTGATAATGCTAATTTGAAAGCCGAACGCGATGTCCAATTTCAATTTTTTGTTATAGCCTCTTTAATTAAGTTAGATAGTCTTTTTCTCTTCCCCCCCCCCCCCCCCCCGCACACACACACATTATCCGTGGCGAAGCAATGGCTCAATCCAAAAATAAACTTCAGGTATATAGGTACAACTCACTCAAAAAGAAGAATCGAAAAATCATCGCATAGCGCGAGATTTACGCGAGAGAGAGAGAGAGAGAGAGAGAGAGAGAGAGAGAGAGAGAGAGAGAGAGAGAGAGAGAGAGAGATAGTGGGGCGCAATGGCAAAGCAAAAGAGGCGAAAGGCCCCGGCTGGCTCTCCGCGGGATCGAGAGAAAAAGAGTACGAGAGCCAGTCTGGCGTCGCGCGCTCTCCTCGATGCACACGCGTGTGTACCGCTGCTGCAGTTGTTCGGTGCAGCCGTCCGCGGTGGGTGATTTTTCAGTTTTCTCCGCGAAGAAATAAAGTGTTGTTGTTGTCTCTCTTTTTGTCTTTGCCACGGTGTTGTTGATCGCCGTTCGCTTGCAACAGCTGGGTGTGCGTCGAAAAATCCGAAAGAATATAGGAACGAGAGAGAGAGAGAGAGAGCGAGAGTGGAAAAGGTGAGTTTTCTGCCTTTTTTTAAGTCGATTTGTGAGTGACATTGACACACACACACACACACACATGCACGTACGCACATATGACTGGATTATTGACGCACGTGCGCATTCCGATGAGGCTTAACCCTTATTTTTTGCACCCATACTGCGTTGGCGTTTCTTTCCGACCTATAACGGCGAATCGAACGATTGGTTATATAGTGAAATTTCGACGCGATTACTTGTCAAGTCTATCGGAATTCAGAGTAATCTCTTGCAGAAAGAAAGTTTCGTTGAATAATCGATTGTTTCGCGATGAATTCGTCACGGAGGATCGAGTTTGCGCTGTTATACAACTGTTGACCACGATTTACACTTACCGAAGTAAGCGGCGTTTCAAAATCACTAATTGCCGGTCGCACTGCCATCGATTCGAAGGTAAAGTCAATGTCGTCCCTTAATCGCGAACACGCCGATTAGGAGGGGCGCGTGACTCAAGAATTCGCGAAGACATTTCACTCGACCGTTACCTAATCGACGTCACGTTTGCATAGGAGAATCGCATGGCTCGTCTCCCGCAGGAACGACGCGCGTGACGATTCACTCGTTTCTCACCCATTGAAAACTTCAAAACAAGCAAACGCGCTCTCTTACGGCGAGACTGCCTCACCAGCTGCTTCACAAAATAGGTCGCGCTCGCGTAATATCCAAAATAGGGTATACGGACGTTGGCGCGTGTGGGAAAAGGTGCAAATCGAGTCGCGGGGAGGGGAGGAGGAGGAAAAAAAAACGAGCAAACAAAGCGGCGACAAGCGGCAAAAATATATGCGTGCACGCGAGGTTTAAGCTCGTGCATAACTGTACATCCTATCCGAGGGAGAAGCGGCTCCGTGCACACACTGGCGCGCGCCCATTTTCCACTCGGACGAGGATAAAATAGAGAGTAGGCATATGTACACCTGCGCGCTAACGGGGCGGCAAAAGAGAGAAAAATGAAAAGAAAAGCGACACGTCGCGGCAATCGGAAAACATTCGGAGGACGCGCGTCGTTACCACCGTTATTAACGAGCGTGACGTTGTTTATCACGTGGAGATTTGCGCGTGACGAGCGAAACCCCCCTCCCCCAAGAGGTGCGTGCCGTACGGTCTGTTTGGTCATCTTGACGAACGAAAAAAGTCACGCCTGACGATCGTCGATGGTTAACGCGCGCACCTGGGACGTCAGCGCTGCGGTAGACGATGTGCGGGTATACGAAAGGCGATTGTCCGGCCTCGCATCTCAAAAAGCGCAGGTTAATTTTGGGGCTTCGTTGTTTGAAAAGGACATTCGCTTATGCGCGTAATCGTGAAATGAGTCTGATTAATGCTGGAACATTGTCATCAAACTTGCGAAAGAAGCCTATTTTTTTTCAACGTTATGAAATTCTCGTAGCATTGTTTTCCGATATAGAAAACCATCCGCCATGTAACTCGGTCTTACAAAAATAACTTTACCTCCAAATACTCGCAACTCGTCCGTCAGTATCATAATCGAGAAGTCAACGAACTGTCGGAGATGAATACGAACGAAAATAAAAAGAAAAGAAAAACAAGAAAAAAGTAAATTACAAAACGCTGTATAATTCAGCTGCTGCTGTTGAATCGATGAGTATCTGGCGACGGCGAGAGAAGACGGAAACGATCCGTGACTGAAAGCGAGAGAAAAAAAAAGGAAGGAGCGTTCGAGCGCACGGGATTCCAGGTCAGACGCGCGCCAAAGCCGCGAGAGAGGCGACCCATTCACTCGCGAGTGAACGCAGCAGCAGCTTGATCCATACGAATTATGTCACTTTTCGAATCACAGGTTGTTCCAGCTCCTGATCGTGTATCACAGTTGGCGACGAGCCTTTTTTTGTTTTTGTTCTTGTTTTTTTTTTCTTTTTTTCTTTTTTTCTTTTTTTCTTTTTAACTGATCGATTGCGTTCGTGGGAATGAGTGATCGAGCTTGTTTGGACAAACATTTACAAATGTGTAAATGTTTGTTGGGATGCACGTGCGACTTGTAATTTTTCAGGATTAATATCAAATTAACACTCGCGAGTGTGCGGTATGATGGATGTATATTGTTTTTTCGAATAAAAAAAATATTTCACTAAATTTTCCAATACACTTATTTATAATTTCAAGTAATATTGGAAGCTTCAGTGACTAAAACCCGTACAAAAATACAGTCTCGCTGCTTAGTGCAAAAATCAATAAAAATCTATAAATGATAATCCGATAAAAGAGACGTAAAGATATAGAAAGAAGTCCTCTTGATCCGATTATAACACGGAAGCATTTTCATGGCTGCCTTTCAATCAGTTGCTAGTAAATTGTCGAGCGTCTGAGTAATTATGAGTTTTGTAGATTGGAAAAAGGTGAAAAACGCTGCAGCTCCAGATGCTAGAATAATATATGTATCTATGCATTTGAAATGCATTTCTTTTGTGTGAGTTTTCTGGGATATTTGCAAGACGAAGTTTCGCTTTTAAGAATAGCTCGTTTCTCCCGTATGCGATTATCTTTGAAAGCATTTGGAACAGCTTTGTTCGACTTGGATATAAGCAGTTTCAAGAAACGGTTTTGCGCATGTTTGTTACATGTTTTAGTGCGCGATAAACCTATTGTTCGAAACATTTATTCAACAGATAACTTGAATGAAGCAACTGAGTTCTTAATGAACAATTAACTAATTGAGAAAAATTTGACTGAATCAAAGCAAATTTGAATTCACAAAAATTTTAATTTATCATAAAAATTTAATTCATAAATATATTATTGTCTAACAGTAAATTATAATATTAATAAAGATGAACTTCGAAATTAAATTAATGAAAAAAATATTTAAAAAATAATGCGATGGCCGGGAATCGAACCCGGATCAACTGCTTGGAAGGCAACTATGCTGACCATTACACCACCATCGCACTTTACGCTGAGAGTTATTCTAATCCGAGGCAGCAGATGTGGGTTGACGATTGATTTCAAAAATTATGCCAATATTAGTACACAATATTTAAACAAATATATATTTCACGTACAATAATTATTTTAATGATAATAATATTTTATATTTTAATTCTGAAATAAAATTGTCTAATTCTCAACGTTTTTTATACATAGAATAAATTTCTATTTTTACTACAAAATTATTTTAGGAGTGCGCCTTCGAATAATAATAATAATAATAATATAAATATTAGATGGTATACGAGATAAATAAACTACAAAAAGTACTTAAATGACGCCTTACAATTAATAACACTTTCTATAACTTAACTAAAACATGTTTTAATATCTATCAAAACGTACATTTCTGTTAAATGGTATGAGAAAACGAATATTAATTACAAAACATATCGCTATCTTTACAATTTATCAAAAAGTAAACTCAAACATTAAGTGAGATGATTGCGAAGATGCTTATCAATACTTTTAATAAGTGATAATTTGTCCTTAGATCCGCATTGATTTGCATTTTATATACACGCTCCATCGTCGAGAAAAATGTCAGAAGGGTTAAACGGTTCGATCGAAGAAGTCTTTCGAAAGGAAGATAATAGCCGAGCCAAGTAAGATCAGTCAAACAGGCTCCCAGAAAAGAAAAAAAAAAACACGTCATTTTTAAAGTCGTGCGCCGACCGATTAACATAATAACGGAAGAGAGCTTTCGGACGATCGACGCGCGTAAAAATAAAGACGATCACCGGCTTCTTCGTCTCCTTCTTCTTTCCAGGCATCTCCTTGCTCGTCCACCGCGGTTATCGAATTTCGACGTTGCTTCTCTTTCTCTTTATTTCTTTTTTTCGTTTTTATCGTCGTCTGTCTCTGCGCGCGCTTCCCTTCTTCGTCAATGCTGCGCTTATGCAACGAGCGGCTACCAGAGATGCGCACTTCGTTGCAGGACGACGTACAATTTGACGCTTTTATTTACACGTACTGCGGCTAACATTCTGAAATATAAAGTGCTGGTAAGTGAGATGGGTGACACCGAGCGTTGGGACATTCGCTACGAATGATATCTTCGGAGCTCTTTGCACGTATATTAAAAATACGTCTCATTGCAGTTTCACGATGTCGTATTCGATTGTTGATATAGATTTGCATTGCGTTACTTATCAATTTGAGATATTGACCACGTATGGGAAGTGTCTTGACTTCCGTAAATTTGACCGATGAAGAGGTTGACGTTAATTAAAATCGGTGACTTGGGTGAATTTTACGCGATCGCGTTCGAGCTACTGTTTTGATCTGACTGTTGAGTGACTATAGAAAAAAAGCTCCTACTCCAGTATTGAAAGCTATTAATAACATGTAATTCGTCTCGAATAATTGATGGTTATCATCCTATACTGCATCCTACCCAGGAGGAAAAAAAAAGTCCAAGCTTTCGCTCCCAATGACTCGATAGCTCGTATAACCAGGCGCGTTCGGTCGAGCGTCCACGACGCAGGGGCCGCAGGTCGAAAAAGACTGCAGGCGAGATGTGGCATGCAAGTATTTTTTTCGTTCGCCAAAAAGTAGTCGTGTGCGCACCTATATAATTTTGGGCTTCTGCTTAGGTCACATTTGAATGGAATGCCCGAAGCACGGTCGCCCGCAGGCAGCACCCGCACGATACCTTCCCACGGCGAGCGGCCAGCAATAGATGCAACGACGATTAGGCAGCTGCTTTTCGCTCTCGCACGCTAAGTTCATTTCTTTCGGTTTTCTTTTATTTTTATTTATTTTTTTCTTCTTTTTTTCTTCGCCACGGTAAGTTGTAGTCGCAAGAACAGAGACAGGCGGATCATTTTCACCGTTGGGCGGACCGTCTCCGAGCCAACTTATCGACGAGCTTCGCGGTTAATTGCGAACGAAAAGAATGCCCTTCGCGGACCACGCAATTAGCGACGCGCGATGCGACGTTGCCCCTTCGCTAATGTTGCTCCCACTACGCACAGCCGGGAATTCGCATTCCGTATTGGCACGGTCGCGAGAGCACGCGGGTTAATTTGAAT